TAATATATTTTTTAAAATAATCTAATAATAAAATAGGTTTAATATAAAATCAAATATAATATTAGAATGACTTTTTTTTTCAGTAACTTTCAATAGTCATTTAAAAATTTACGTTTTTTTTTTTTTTACAAAAGGACATTTAAATTGAATCTTTTTTTTGGGTTAAACGCGATATATATGTTTCTTTTATAGTCTTTTTTTTTTTTTTTGTTTTTTTTCATCGAGCATTATACACAACAGGTTAATAACGAGCCGACTGTTCATCAGAGCGAAAATCAATCACGGATAGCGATCCTATCTGAGCGAAAAGGATTTGGGAAATCCTTTGATGAGTTTTACCCTGAAAAATCTTTTATATAGAATATAAATTAAAAAATGAAAATCTTGTTACGTGTAACATTTATTGTTAATCGTCACATTGTCGTGTTTAATAATACATCATATTTTTTTTTTTTTTTTTTAAATAAAATACAATATAAATTTTGATAAATAATATTCAATGAATGCAATCAAATATATCATTGTGTTAATTAAATAAAATTATAAAAAATAATTTTTTCTATTGTTTACGCGTATACGAACATAGCAGAGAGTTTCGATGAGTGAAATCAAACAAAAACAATTTAAAAAAAATATATATATATATATAAATGAAAAAAATAAATTATTAATAAAAAGAACAAAAATAAATATAAAATTAAAAAAAAAAATAAATTGGACATAAAAGAAAATAATAAATAAAAAATTTTCCGATCGAATTGTCCCTGTTTTATTATTCATCTACAGGTATAGCAAATGATTGTCGCAATGCATATTGCATATAATATGCGGAACCAATTGTTCCACAGATGAGCTATTATCCGGAAAATAAACGGTCCGCTACCCTTGGTTGGTTTGATTTACGATACTCGCCTCGTTTAAAATACAAAATACATTTACAAAATGCGATGCGATTTAACATAAACGATTATATATCTATATATATATATATGTATTCTTCATTAACGATTAAATATGGTCCTACCATAAAAGGAATGTAGAAATAAACATAAAGTTATCTTTAAAAAAAAATATATATATGTATATATGAATTCCTGTTCACGATTACAATGCGCTTTACCAACCGGCTGACCACATATCGATAATATCCACTGCGGTTCTATAACGTGAAACTATTATCTACAATCTTGAATATTTCTAGGACAATTGTTAAATCTTCGATATGACAATAAAAATAAATAAATACAAATCGATGATATTGATGATATTCAATCGAATTTTATTTAAATTAACAAGAATTTTGATCAATAACACGTAACTAACGATCCACAATCAAATTCTTGATTAAAAGAAACGTTAGTATGAGAAATAGAGAAAAATTGCAAGAAGTTAGTAGTCCATGAATTAGAACAAAAAAAAAAATAAAAATAAAAATAAAAAAAAAGAGGAATATCAGCTTTATTCGACTAACGAATACACATCCCGTCAAAGTATCGTGTTGGATTGCGTAGATTAAAAAAAAAAAAAATAGGAAAAGGGTCAACAAAAAAAAAAAAGAAGAAAAAAAGAAAGAATGAAGGATATGGGGGAGGTTAAAAAAAAAAATAAAAAGAAAAGAGACGAAAAAAAAAACAAGGACAACGGTAAACGATTCGTGCTTTTCGGAAAATCCATTCCTCTGGTTCGGTTGGTCGGTCGAACGTAACGAGAATTTCGTGTACAAATGGGGAATTCGCGTGCACCGCTTTGTATCATCCTAAACATCATGCGTTCAGAGCCAGGCTTTAGCCAACACTCGTTTACTACAACGTTACCTATGTGTGTAAAAGAAAAAGAGAGAGAGAGAGAGAGAGAATGAGAAAGAAAGAGAATGAGAGAGAGTAATACATCGTTCGTGATGAACAGTAAAGCAAATCTGTAACAGATATATCGGTGAGAGGAAGATAAAGTAAAGGAGTGAGAGGAAAGTGGAGGAGGCATTATACAGAGGGAAACTGAGATAGTAACATATATATATATATATATAGAACCCTAACTGTTCATAGTAGAAATGTATTAAGTGCCGTAGGCGTTTCTAGAACGCCTTGCTACGTCACAAATAATCTGCGAAGCTTGCGTTGTGGGGTTTGATAAACTTCATTGTGTTGTAATAATCGTGCCACTATACCTTACTACTACTACTGCTATTGGTACTGGTACTATCGTCATCCTTATCAAAGCTCAAATGTTAAGCAAGAAGAAGCATCGAGCTTAATCATTACGTATTTCACTACTAACATATATACATAATATAATTTAATATATAATATAATATATTATAATTTATAATATAATAATTTAATACAATAATAATTTAATAATTAAATATATATATATGTTATAATATAATAATATTATATTAAATATAATATATTATATTAAATTATTATATATTACATTTATAATATTTATAATATAATATATTATAAATATAATAAACCAAACATATATATGCTATTATCTTTTATCATTAATAATTAATATATTTAAAATTGCTACTTAAATTACATTTTTAAAATATACATAAACTGAGATAAAAGTCGTACAACAAATAAAGAGATAAAACAAAAAAACAAAAATTGACGTAAAAAATTACAGAAAATTAAACAGCTTACATAAAATATTTTAAACATTTCAACCGTATAATTCTATACACAAGCAAACTATGCATATTACTTAATGAGCAAGTAAACTATTTGTTTTTTTTTTTTATTAAAAAAATAAACACTCATGTAATATAAATAAGAGCATTAATGTAATGTAAAGTATAATGTATAGAATATCAAGTGTTAAATATTTTGGAAACAAAAGTTTACCATATGTATACATCATCCACTTAAATTAATAAAGCATTCATACCATAAACAAATGACACTAGCTAGCTATCTAGAGCTCTAGTTCTACCCACAATGATCTATATATATGTTGTTATTTCTCGACCATTATTTAACGTGTGTTTTGTAATTCTGTTAGGATCGTAATATAAATGTTTTAATATAAGAACTTTGTGTGATAAATAAGAGACAATTTTAAAGGTTAGTCATTTGAACTTCTTTATCCTTTTTCTTTTTTCTCTTTCATTCTTTCTCCTTCTCACAGTAGAATAAAAAAAAAATAAATAAAAAGCTTTCCCCGTAGAAAAAAGCTTTCTTTTACATTTACTACGCATACCATAGAAATTAAACTTTGTGGAACAATGTTGGTCAATTCTCAAAGCACCCACACCACTCTGAACTCCCACCACACCCCCTCACCATCGTTTTCTTCCACGAATAAGGCAAATCTGCGAGGAGAAGAAAAGACGTAGCGTTAAAAAAAAAAAAAAAAGAAAGAAAGAAAAAGAAAAAAAAATAAAAGAGGGGGAAAATATTCTCATCGTCTTCTTGTTATTAAACGCAAACTAATATTTTCTGAAGAAAAACTTTTCATAAAAGTGGTATCGACTTTCGTAATTTCTTCATTAAACCTAACAACACGAGAAGAACTGATTTCACTCTCTCTCTCTCTCTCTCTCTCTTTCTCTTTTATCTTTCTATTTTTATTTGTCTTTCTTTTTCACTTACTCTAATTTTTCCTAACAGAAAAATATTATTCCATTTTCTTCGTGCTCATGGTTGTAACCATTCACAAAGGGATCTTTTCCTAGCTGTTAGTTTTCCAACCATTTCTTCTTTCGTTCAACCCCTTTTACTCAACCACCCCTTTTCCTTCATCTTCTTCTTCTTCTTCTTCTTCTTCATCTGCCACTTTCGGTTTATTTTACCTGATACTTCTTTTTCCCCAAATTGTAACATATCTACAAAAAAAAAAAAAAAGAAAAAAAGGTAAAATAAAAACTCACGTAAACGCATACTCTCAACTCTGAACAACATACGCTTCCCTTTTATGGTTTTAGAACTTGCAAGGATTTATGAGAAGTAAGAAGAAGAAGAAGAAGAAGAAAAAAAAATAAATATAAAAATAAAATCAAATATAAAATACGAGAGAGAGAGAGAGAGAGAAAACGTGGGCAACGATAATTACGATCGTATATTTTTCAAGGCAACAACTCTTGAAAAACATCCCCTATTTCAATTGATTTCTTTATGATAACGTCTATATAGATTCTTTTTATGATAGAATATTTATTCTGTAAAGTATGTAAACCTATTTATATTTATATTTATATATATATATACCTTTATACGTTCAAATATAAATTGAGATATAACGATGTGCAGAAGAAAAAAAAAACAGATAAAATAAATTGCGAAATGTTCTATCAAACGTATGTGATTTTTCATATTTTTTATTCAATACACAACTTACAAATAATATGAGATTAATTGAAGAGAGAGAGAGAGAGAGAGAAACTTGTATAATTTATTATTGTTTTTGTTCTATTTAAAATTTTTATTTTCATTTAATAATATCAACTCCATTATTCTTATTACAAATGAAAATATATAAATGAATATAAATGATAAATATTTGTCATTCATAATATTTTCGACGGTTGATAATTGTTTTAATTCTGTTTACAAAATAATCCACGAACATTTTAATGAATGAATAATAAATTGATCAAGATAGGTATTATTAAATATGCATGTTAATTACGTAAAATTGTCTTGTTATAATTAAAGAGATAGAATGAGAGAGATAGAGATAGAGAGAGAGAAATAATTACGCGATTTAAAATCAAGCTTATATTATGTATCTAATCTCGATTTTTTAAATATGTCACAAAGATAATAATAATAATAATAATAATAATAATAATAATAATTTCATTTGATTTTAATTAACACGTTTCGTGTTACGTGTACCAACGGTGGTACACGTTAAATTTGACCACCAGTTTACTTGTACCACTGGTGGTACACTTATTAGACAAATGTATTTAATACAATTAAACAAATGAATTTTATTTAATTAATGTTGTTTAATTTGTTTCGTTTTCTTTTTTTGGTATTTTGCAGTGCGAGAAGTTTCGTTGTCCGAACTCAGGGACTCAATAGCAAGGTTTCGAGACAGAGTAAAGCTAGTATGCAGAACGAGGGGTTCGCCGCCCCCAAGAGTTCACTGGCTCAAAGACGGCATACCACTACACCCAAGAAGAGGACTCAAAATCCAACACAAAAGGTAAACAAACTCGTTGCCAATTATTTTTCGTCTTTTTATTTTTTTTTTTTTTCTTTCTTCAAAGATAATCCAAATTTACTATCAATCTTTCTCATTATTATTTTTCTATTGTAATTTCAAATATAAATTGCAAGATTGCTCTTTATAATAACCCATAACCCTGACGCAACCCTGACGGTTGCTGTGTGCAAACAACAAAGTTGTTGTGTGCAAACAACAAGATTTCTCTTTATTGGCGCATTAGCGGAATTCTTGCTGCGTAAAATACCTAAGTATAGTACCTAAGTTAAGTACCGAAATATAATAATATAAATATAAATTATAATAAATAAATAATTTAATATAATTGATTATTATAATTACGTTAATTTTGTCCTNTTATTATTATTATTATTATTATTATTATTATTATTATTATTATTAGCATATATGAGGTGCGTAATGTATAAAACTGTAGTAGTGCCGTCATTTGGATATTGTTCATCGATTATGCGAGACAAATTTGCAATACTTGCAAAAACTGTAAAATAAATGTATGAGAATTTTATTATTATTATTATTATTATTATTATTATTATTATTATTATTATTATTAATTGGCAAGCAATTCGAAAGTTCATTGCCGCAAATACCAAATCCCGACAGTGTTCTTGTTCCTACGCTTGACCCATCCATTCGCAATTTTCGTAGCCTACTTCTTTAAGATCCTGAAACAATATTGTCCTCTCATCGACATCTTGGTCAACCCAGTGCCCGTTTCCCGTTCGATATATTGAACAGTATTTTATTCACCGTTCGATCCACCCCCATGCGCGCCACGTGACCTACCAAACTTAATCAGCGTGATTTTACGACGTCAATGATGTCTGGTTTGTTGTAAAGTCGGTGTACTTCTACGTTATGGGGTTTTATTCATTCAACTGTTTTCCTCATCGCGTTTTACATCGAAGATTTTACGAACAACTTTATTTTCGAAAAGCTTCAATTTCTTTTGGTGTTTTGATGTAAGTGACCACGTTTTGCTACCATAAAGGACTACCGGTTGGATGATTGTTCTGTATATCCTGTTTTTTAAATATATATATATATATATATATATATATATTGTAGTTCGTTATTATAAGGGTTAAAAGTCGATTTTTAAAACATCAACCTTTCGTTTGCTCGTTATCGAGAAGAGTATTGCTATCGAATTTCCGTCAGCCACATAGATAGGAGGAAGCCCCGGAACGCGTTCGCTGACGCGCACGCTAGAAAACCATTACGTGATTGCGAGCTTGCAAAATGTATTTGCTGCTTTTTTTTTTTTCTATTTTTCCTCGGCCGTTGGCCTTCAAACGACCATTCGTTCTTTTGCCCGGATAATACGGCTTATCAAAATTCTACGTTGAAATCCATTCTCGTATACTAAATTATTGTTAAAAAGAGAGGAAGGAAAAGATCATTGTATTTAAATTAAGCAAAAAAGAAAAACAAAATATCGAACAATTCAAATCCAACAAGTTATTTTCGTTTCGAAGTATATTGAATACCTACTTTTATTTCAATTATTATTATTATTATTTGTTTATATTTTTGTATGATCATTTTATTTCTATATATCTTCTTAACTCTTTACCCAGTTTACAAATCCAACAAAAAAATATATATATATATAATGGGTAACACTACCATAAAGCACAGAGAAGTCTCAATTGTATAAAGTTGAATTCTTTCGTTGCATTTTACTTTCGTTCCATGTTTAGTTACATCGTATACGTTAATACTTTTTCCCTCGTCCATTGCAAGCCATATTCATTGCACGAAAAGATTGGTAGTAATAAAATGTTAATAGGATAACGAGCCAGAGGAACCGTGATGGTTGCTCCCAGACAATCAGGAAACCCGAGGCACTTTACTGCTCTAAAATTTTCTTCTCGTCGAAGTGAAGCGAACAAACCATCTCCTACTACACCTCTTACTTCTCCTCCTTCTCGTTCATTTCTACCTACAACCCCCATACCCCACCACCATACCACCTCGGTTGATACTAATTGGAAAAGCGCAATTTTTTTTTTTTTACCTCCAATGAGGAAATTCTAATTATACGAGAAACGATGGTGAATGACATCGAGAGAGGTAGATAAAACGGACAAAGTAACGAAATAATTATAATAAAATAAAATAAAATAAAATAAAATCAAAATCCAAATTAAATGTACGAAAAGGATGAAAGAATTCAAACGAAATCCAAGGACGTATGATATAAAGTACTACGCGTGCATGCTAATATATGAATATATATATTTATATATTCATGGTAGTCTACCGCGAAATTCGCGCATTTAATTTATTCTTAATATATAACTAGGTATATTCATATCTATATATATATATTTCTATATTAATTACTTTATTTGAAATTATATATATAAAAGTAGATATGGGATCAAATATTTATACGTTATTTATATTTTATTAATTACAGTTAATGTACATGCAAATGAAATATATATTTATTTATTTTTAAATGGTTTTCTTTCTATTAATCCTTTATCCCTTTATGGAATATTTTATAACATAAAATATTTTAATATTATCGTCAAACGATCAATATAAATATATATATTATTGCATGGATACATCTATCATACTATACTCTTCATTAAATATCTGCAAATTTGCGACAATAATAGTGTCAACGATTATCTGCTTGGTCGCAGGTGTACACACGTAATATCCATGATACGAGGGGGTGAAAACAAAAGAATAATCGATGAGGGTAAAATTAATTAGCAGTAACCAGGAAGGTACGACGATGATGCGTCGATAGCTATTGTTAATCGAAATGAAAATTATATTGGCGTTGAATATGAATAGAAAATAATCCTTTCAAAAAAACGTACTAAAAAATGCTTATTTCAATTTTATTTTTTTTGTCTTAAACATCTACAACTAATTAACGTTGAACAAAATCATATTCGGGGGAAGGGATAAATTATTTTCAATTCATTGTCTATCTGTGTTAACTATTTAATATAATTTTGTGATGTTGTTTTTGTTGAAAAATAAAAAAAAAAATTTATTCATTAATAAAACCGACTAAACCCCCTCTCATTGGTTGAATATCGTATGGCACATTCGTAAAATAAAATGTGAAACGATCCAATGTCCGTTAATTAATAGGTTTGTTAACGACTGCTATTAATGCCACTGGAATTTGTACTCAACGTTGTTACAGCGTATATCGTATTACAATGCTTTTCATGGGAAGCTACGCTCGTTTTGTGTGGTAGGAAGAAATAAAAAAAAAATTTAAAAAAAGAACAAAAAGGAAAGAAGAAAAATGAAAATTAAAAAAGAAAAGAAAAACAAAAATAGTTACAAATATTACGTCGGTTCTAATTACACGACATATCTCGAAATAGGTCGACGTTGCATTCAAGTGTAATAATATTTTCATGGCTTGACACATTTCAACGTTACCCAATGTGCATAAAAAGATAAAAAAAAAAAGAAAATAAAAGTACCTTTTGCCAAATTGAAAATGTTGTAATATTATTTGATACAAAATTTCAAATGAAAAAAAAAAAAAAAAAAAACAAAAAAAAAACCTGAATTATTTTCGTCAAATCATATAAATGCTTTTTTTTATTGATTCTGACATACACCAGTGGTAGGTACACACATGCCACGTGTCCTACGTACAGTATACTGTAAAAAAAAAAATGAATAAAAACAAAAAACAAAAGAAAAAACATTAATTAGAAATTCACTAGGAAATGGAAAAAATTTTTAATCAATGTTTTATCATCTCTCTCTCTCTCTCTCTCTCTCTCTCTCTCTCTCTCTCTTTTTCAATGAAAACGAAAACGAAAACCTAAAGAGAAGAACGGTCAACGAAATTTCGTGGAAAACGTTATCTTCTGAAAGAATTCAGTGAAAAAGAAAAAATAAAGAAAAGAAAAACTAACAGAAAGAGAGAGAGAGAGAGAGAGAGAGAGAGAGAGAGAGAGAAATGCAAAGAGAACATTTCAGGAAGTAAAATAGGACTTCAACACCCATACCCTTCTACCCCTGATCCCTATCAATGTTACATCGAGTTCGCGATACGAATAAACGATTCGCTTTCACTACACTTGGCCAGTCAAAGGCGCGTGCTTGGGTCCTTTTTTTTACTCTCTCTCTCTCTCTCTCTCTCTCACTCTCTCTCTCTCTTATATTCCAATCGCGTCTCCTCGACAGCTGTCGGTGCCAAAACAAATGCCCGTTCCTGTCTCACAGTGCTAAAGTTCCTGGCATCAATATTTGCGAACAAACATACGGTGCTATCCAAGCGAATCGGGTCCAGGGATCTATCGGAAAAGAAAATGGAAATGCTTGCTGACGAAAAGGACGGAAGGAAGAAAGTTTTGGGAAGGGGTTTAAGGGGTAGGGAACTCGATAAAAAGGTGGATAGAAAAAGATAGAGAAATAAATAGATCGTGTACTTGACCCTAAAGCTAAAAGGGGTCGGTCAATTTCATCTATTCGTCGTTTTCTTCACCCTTTTACTACGTACGATTCACATAAATCATTTGAAACATTTTCTCTCTCTCTCTCTCTCTCTCTCTCTTTTTCTTTTTCTGTAGTTTCTATACAAATTATTGACAAAAATAACATCAATTTTTATTGTATTATCTTTAATAAAGTATTTAACTCGATTATGATAATAATGATATTGATAATGGGTGCTTTTAAGAGTAATAATTTATTAACGAATAAATTTATCTACTTTAGATTTATTTTATTTATTATTATTATTATTATATATATATAACTTTTTGTGGATGAATTTAATTAAGCTACTTTTGATAAATCTCGATTAAAAGAGTAATCATAATTTATTTGTAAGAAAATAATACGTGCATTTGAAAGGTTTTTAAATCGTTATATATATATGGTGTTAATAAACCAAGTTTAAAAATATTGAAAGATTAAATTTTAAATAAATATTAAATTTATACTATCGGATATAAAAA